GGGGTTATATATACACGTGACTTGGTCCACACCACTCTATTATCTCTTATCGAGTGGATATTTGATGATGTCGCAGTCACACGGTGGGTCTGGGCAGATGCACGGGGGTGGGTAGGGGGCTGTGGAGAGAGAGAAAGAGAGATGGTGTTAGGAAGTCATCAAAAATGAAATGAAAGAGGTTTTTACAAAAATGTTTGTCTCGCTAGTGAACTGATTCAAAGTAGTTCAAATTGATAACAATGATAATAAAAAGAGGGTTAAAATCATCATCACCCAAATAATAACTTACATCAAAAGTAAATAATGCATAATCAAATTTAAAAATTAAAGTCTCAGTAATCAGATCACAGTCTATGAAACAACGTTCAAAGAAATCCATTCTCGACAAGTAAAACATAAAAGAAAACATAATAATAATTTAAAAAAAAAATACAATGAGTAAAAATGAAGGAATAAATAAATTAGTCATTAATTCAGTCTATGGGACATCGAAACCACCTGACGACGAACCTGGCGTTGTCACGGGCGGTGGGCGTCCCGTCACCTCCGTCAGAAGCAGCATCAGCAACGACAATCTATCGAGAGGAAGAATTGGCATCAATGTCCCGCTGTTGCCAGACAAGCACCCCGCACGCACCATTAACTCAGTTACCAAAACTAACCCATTTCGATTAGATATTTTCTGATTTCGATGATTGGCTTTGGATTAACATTTTTTTCGATCAATGACACCTATTCGTTATTCGTACTTACAGTAGAAGGGTGAGTAAGAGGCGTCTCATTGTATAGCTTCCCTTCTCGAGTACTGGAGCAAGACTGTGTTGGTCGCGTCTTCCAGGGTCTTATATCCTGAAGGGGAAGGAGGAAGTGCGGGGGAGGGAGGAAGAGAGGGGGGCGAGGGAGGGAGAGAGAGGAGAGGGGAGCGAGGAGGAGAGAGAGGAGGAGCGAGGGAGCGAGGGAGGGAGAGAGAGAGGAGGGGGAGCGAGGGAGGGAGAGAGAGGAGGGGGGGAGCGAGGGAGGGAGAGGAGAAAGAGGAGAGGGGAGGGGATGATGGGGGGAGCGAGGGAGGACGAGGAGGAGGGTGGAGGGGAGGAGGGGGAAGGGGTGTAGACTAAACCCTCTAACCATTTTTTTTCTTTTTTTGTTAACTTGTAACACCTGTTTAGTAAGAGATAAAAACGAAAGAATAGGAGAAAGCCGAGGTCGGGGTTTGTCAGTCCAATAAAAGTATAAAAAAAGGATATTACGAAAAAAAAAAAACAAAAAAAATACGGAGTAAGATGACAATTCATTTTTTTTTTAATCAATTGACTACCGGAGGGGAAATATTATCATCCCAAAAATCTGAAACCGAATTGAACACATACTGAACACATATCCTAACCTTCATACGAATATCCATAAATTTTTACTTACAATACGAAATAACAAGGTACTTCCCCCATGATATCATCTAATACTTACATTAATACATACACAATAATTTGATATACAGTTTATGACATTTAGAACTAAAACATTAAGCAGAAGGTTGAAAAGATGAGTTTGAGAGGGCAATGCCATGTAGCAAGACCCTAAACTGAGCCCCAGGCACAAGCACAAACCCCACCCTGCTTGTGCTTGTGCCTGCGAGCTGTCTGTGGGTGTGGGTGCGCGCTTGTGTGTGTGTGTGTGTTTGTTTGTGTGTTGTCCGTACGTGTATGTGTGTCCGTATGTGTATATGTGTGTCCGTGTGTGTATGTTTGTATGTCTGCGTGTGTTGAGTGTGTTTGCTGTATGTACGTGTATGTGTATGTGTGTCTGTGTGTGTGCGTGCGTGTGTGAGTGTGTGTGTGTGTGTGTGTTCATATAGAGACTGAACTGCGCATAAGTGGATAAGACAAACACAAACTGAAGATAAATTGACAAGAAGACAGACAGCAGATAGACAGACAGACAGAAGGAGACAGGCAATGAGACGGAGAAAAGAGGAGAGAGAAAAACAGAGACTGAATAAGACAGACGGGCAGAGACGGAAATGAGGAGAAAGAACACATATTGACAGATGGGTAGACAGTAGACAGACAGACAGACAGAGGGGCAGAGACATTCAGGCAGAGAAAAAGAAGAAAGCGAAAGAGAGGAGGGAAGAGAGAGAGAGGGGGGGGGGAGAGACAGACATACAGGCATAAATGTGGAGAGAAAGCAAAGAGAAAGAAATAGAAAGAGAAAGAGAGAAAGAGGAAGGAGACAGATAGACACAGAGAGATAGAGAAGTGATAGAAAAAAAAGAGAGAGAGAGAGAGATAGATAAATAGATAGAGAGACAGAGAGACGTACACACAGATACATCCACGTCTACAGAATGGGTAATTGAGGGAAATTTTCATTGAAGGTTTTTTTTTTCCTAGAATTTCTGGGCTTTCCTGTGACGTCATCCTACATAGGACTCTACTCCTGGATGCTTGAGTGTGAGGCTGCGCACTCCGGTGACGCAACCGTATAATGGGTACATCCGTGTATGGTTGGGAGAGGAGTGCACGTGTGTGTGTGTTGTGTGTTGTGTGCGTGTGTGTGTGTGTTTGTTGTGCGTGTGTGTGTTGTGTGTGTGTGTGGTGTTGAGTGTGTGTGTTGTGTGTGGTGTTTTGTGTGTGTTGTGTCCTGTATGTGTGGGTGCTTCTCGTGTTTAGTGTGTAGTTGTGCATGTGTGTGTGATATTGTTGGTTGGTATGTGATCGTGTGTATGTATTCTTAGTATGTGTGTGTGTGATGTTGTTTGCTATTGTATGTTAGTGTGTATTGTGTAGTTGTTTTGTGTGTAATGTCGTAGTGCTAGTTGCTGATTGATGTGTAGTTTGATGATGTGTTGATTGATGTGGCGTGTGTGTTAATTGAGTGTGTGATGTGTGTGGTGTGAGTTTTGTGGTGTGTGTGTCATTATGTGTGTGGTGTGTGTGTGTGTGTGTTTGAGTGTGATGTGGTGTTGAGTGTGTGTTTTGTGTGTGTGTTGTGATGTGTTTTGTGATGTATGTATTGTATGTGTGTTATGATGTGTGTTATATGTATGAGTGTGTGTGTGTTTGTGTGTTTATGTGTCGTGATGATCAGTCGTGATCTTATGGTGTGCGAGGCTGTGATTGCTGTGCGTGTCTACAGTGTGACTCTTAGACTCGATGTGTGGTGTGTGTGGTGGTCGATCCATCATCTGCTCGCTAGACTGCATAGTGTGTGAGCGTGTGTGTGTGTGTTCTTATGATCCAACATGCAGCAGCTAGATGCGATATATGTCTGAGTGTTGATGTATTACCTCTGTGTAATGTGTAGTGTGTGTGTGAGTTAGTAGCGTGTTATATGTATGTGTGTATGTAGTGTATTTGATGTGGTCGATTATTTCGCATACTTTGGTCTGTTTACGTCGTTTTTCCTATATATATATATAATGTATGTGTATGTTGTGTGTGTGTGTGTGTGTGTGTGTGGTGTGTGTGTGTGTGTGTGTGTGTGTTTGTGTATGTGTGTGTCCGTGGTGCGTGCGTGCGTGCGTGCGTGTGGTGGTGTTTGGTGTTGTGTGTTGTGTGTTGTGGTTGTGTTGTGTGTCGTATAAGTGTAGTGGTATTGTGTGTTCGCTGGTTACCTGTGTGTCATATGGTAGTTGTGGTCTGATTAATAGTGCGTCTTTGGTTTGTGTTTGTGTGTGTGTGCTTGTAGAGGTAGTGTGTGAATGTGATCTTGTGTTATAATTAAATAATAGTTCTCCTTAATAATTAGATACGAATAAATAAATTGATATTTTAGGTGTGATTTAAATAATAGATGTTGATTAATAGATGATGTGTGGTTCAGTTCAACACTATCGTTATATTCGATGTTGATAAATGGTTAATTTATTGAATAATCTAACATCGTACGGCGTGAGGCTATCCTACCGGATAACCTTTTCACTGAGAATTATTTCCACCTGTAGTATATATACAAGATAAGTATATATATACTTATTCACTTTGACAGTGTATATTTTTAACCTATAACATTGCCTCCTAATCACGTACGTTTAACGATAATTCGCTGAAGGACTCTGGCTTTGGCTTCGATACTATCAGCAAGGTGGTGTTTCCATTAAAACGACATACCCACCATATGGCTCATCACTTTCACTCCATCGACTATTAGTATAGGAAGAATAGTTAATATATTATTGTGTATTATGTGATGCGGCCTGTAACTATCTAGTTATAATAGGTTATGTGTTAAATATATAATCATAAACAAGGTGATTATTCTTCACGTTCATCTCTCCATTCTAATCTATCTCTATCTCTCTATTACTAGAATCAACCATTATCTACAATTAATCTATCTCACTTCGGATATATTCTCTCGATCATACTTCTCTCTCTCTCTCTCTCTCATTCATCTTACTCTCTCTTCATCTCGATATTACCTTTATTTCACTTCATTATATACTAGTACTAATATATCTCGCTATATCTATGATATCTATATATACTACCTCATCATTTCATCTTCTCTATATATATACCCTACTTAACTTGTGAGGAGATGGCTACCGGGTAATCCAGTTATAGATCTCAATCTCTCCTCCTTCACCTCATCGTGTTCATAACATTCTCTTTCCCACCTTCCTGGCTTCAGTGTCCTCTTGTTATCTCTCGTATTTTTCTTTTATCTTCGTCTGTCATTTCAGCTCCCCGCGTGATTACTAGAAATGGAACACGTTTTTTAACAATCACGGATTTCTGGTTTCCTCCCTTTTCTATTTCCTCCCTCCTCCAATTTTCCCCCCTCTCCTACATCTCGTACTTATTTTCCCTCCTCTTTCCCTACTCCTTTCTCTTTTTTTCTCCCCCTTATTCCTCCTCTATCTCTTCTATATACTCTCTATCCTTCTCCACCTCCATTCTCTCTTATTCTCATCTATCTCCTTCTTCTCCTTTTCTCGCTCCCTTCCTACTACCTCTTCTACCTCATCTCTCTCTCTTCTCATTCTCTTCTCTTTCCTT